CCTAAAGACACAATAAGGCCTTGGGGTAAGGTCCTGGATGAAATTAGCCACGCAGTGCATATCTCATCCCAAAGCCTTCGCATCTGCACCCTAAACAGCCCTAAATACACCCAAACCGTGAATCCTAAAATCGCATACCCCAAACAGCCTCCATCCCAGCGTGGAACACTGCAACAACAAACGCTAAACCTCAGACCCAAACGTTAATCCCGACCCTAGACGGGAAGCCTGAAACAAAAACCCGAAACCCAAAACATCAACTCTAAACTCTAAACTGTAAACCTGAAACTTTAAACGGTCAAAAACACCTAAACCCCACAAAGCTCCCTAAGACTAAGTTGGCCTTTCTGGGATCCTTAAACCCGAAACCCTAGACCCTAAACCCTGAAAAGAAGTTTAAGGGTTTAAGGGTTTAAGGGTTGAGACTGCGTTAGCCCTCAGAAACCTCTACTCTACTCCTGCAGCTCCATTTTACCGATGATTGCAGGGGCATGCCCTGCATTTGCGGTGCGATAAGCTGGGAACGTGCCCGACATTTTGAAGTTGCAGGTAAGCCCCTGAACCCTAAAGCCTCAAACCCTAGACCCCAACACCCTCAAACCCTACAACCCGGATGCCAAAAACCCTCAAACCCCAAGCCCCAAAACCCTCTAAAGCCCTACACCGTGGGGATGGTCCCCCTTATACTAAGAGTCCTTTAATAGGGATTATAGTACCCCCCCCTATTATGACCCCTATCAAGGACTGTTAGTATAAGGGGAAACATCCCAACCTAAACCCCAAAAGCCCGGAAACCCGCACCCTAAAACCCAAAGCAAGACCCAATCTCCTCTGCACTTTAAACCCTAAAACCTAAAAACCCTAAACCGCATTCTTCGGTCCGGACGACTGGCGGCTCCTCTCGCGAACCTGACAGGAAGCCCTTGGCACTGTCTTTAATGGTCTTAGGGTTTTGGGAGTTTCGGGCTGCTTTAAGGGTCAGGGCTTTAGAGCTGTTAGGGCTACTTAGGGTTTTAGGGGTTTCGGGCTGTAGCGGTTTCGTGGTAAGGCTTTAAGCGGCTTTAAGGGGTTTAGGGTTTGGTTTAGGGTTTCGGGTTTTAGGGGTTTCGGGCTGTTTAGGGGCTTTTAGGGTTTAGGGATAGGGGTTGGGGGTTTTTGGTTTAGGGCTTTCAGGGTTTCAGGGCTTTAGGGCTTTCAGGGTTGTAGGGGTTTAGGGTTTACATGGTTCAGGGGTCTAGGGTGTAAAGGTTTACGGTTTTTTTGGGGGCCTTTCGGAGATTTGGGGTTGGAGGCTGTTTAAGGGGCTAGGGGTTCGTGAGGTGCGATTGGGGCTTTAGGGCTTTTAAACCCTAAACCCTAAGCCCTAACCCTAAACCCTAAACCCTACACCCTAAACCCTAAACCCGGAGTGTAGCATGCAGGGTTTCCGGGTTCTGGGATTCTAGGGCTTCAGGGCCTGGGGCGCTTTCGAGCACTTGGGATTTCGGGCTTTTGGGAGTTTAGGTTTTGGGGAGTTTAGGGTAGGGTTTCGGGTTGCGGGTTTCGGGTTTAGGGCTGAGGGTTTAGGGCTGAGGGTTTAGGGTTTAGGGCTACACCTGGACCGGCTCGCTGGTCCTCCTTTGGCGGTTTCGGGAATGGTACTTCCTGATAATCTTCTGTCAGCTGCACCAACGTGCAATGGTAAATTTTCACAAGGACGGTGGCGGGGCTACTCTTGTCCACAACCTTTGGAACAAGGTTGCAATTGAGCCTGCCCCACCCACCGGACATGTTCGTTCGCAGGCCATCCTTGCGCATTTTGATGAGGCCGTGCTGTGTGACCTCCTCCATCTTCAGGAACATCGGAAGGCGCTGAAACGTCTGCCATGAATCTTCAAGCAGACCCTGCACCCTAAACCCCAAAGCCAACTTTTCCTAAAAACCCTCATCCTCAATCCCCATACAACCAAGCCCAAATCCCGTCCAACAGCAGTCCCTAATCCCTCAGCCCTGCAAGCCCCGAAACCACAATCCCACTCAAGAACAGCCTTTCAGGGTTGTAGGGCTTCCCTAAACCCTAAACACATCCCTAAACCCTAAACCCTAAACCCCAAACCCCAAACCCCAAAACCCCAAAACCCCACACCCCAAACCCCAAACCCCAAACCCTACCCAGGGCTTAGGGGCCCCGCGTCCCCCAGGAACAGCACCCGGCCTCGAGAAGGAACCACGCCTGGCCTGGAAGGCTCTTTGGGAGTTTGCTTTGGTAACTTAAGCCTTTAGGGTTCAGGGTTCAGGGTTTAGGGGTTCAGGGTTCAGGGTTTAGGGTTTAGGCCCCAAACCCTAAACCCGAAGCCCTAAACCCCTAAAAACCGCAAGCCCTAAACCCTAAACCCCTTGAAACCCTAAGCCCCAAACCTAAACCCCTAAGCCCTAAAACCTAAAGCCCCCAAAACCCCAAGCCCCAAACCCTAAGCCCTAAACCCGAAATCAAGGAAGCATGGGTTCAGAGGGTCTAAGGGCTGCTTCAAGGGCTTAGGGTTACGCCGCTGGGAGCCCCCCTTGAAGACATTGGGGGGGGGGGGGGGGTTAGGGTTTAGGGTTTAGGGCTTAGGGCTTAGGGTTTAGGGTTTAGGGTTTCGGGTGTAGGGTTTAGGGCTTAGGGTAACAAACCTGAAAAAAAACAATTATCTTCAAGGTTCTGCGCCAGGTTCGGGGTTTTTACGCCTAGGGGGAATACAGGGTACTTCCCCTTCTCGGAACTAAACTAGCAAGCCATGGCCATCTCGCTCCTCGCCTCGAACTGGCTTAGGGTTTAGGGTTTAGGGCTTGGGCTCCTTAACCCTAAACCCAAAACCCTAAACCCTAAGCCCTAAGGCCTAAACCCTAAACCCTAAGCCCTAAGCCCTAAGCCCTTATAAACCCTAAACCCTAAACCTTAACCTAAGCCCTAAACCCAAAGCCCCAACCCTCGCCTGGACCAGGTAACCGTAGGCTCAGCGTCCCAGGAAGGCTCAGCGCGTCTGACCTGGTTGCTCTGGGCTATTCAAGGTTTGGGTTTAGGGTTTCGGGTTTAGGGTTTAGGATTTAGGGTCGTAGGGTTTAGTGTTTAGCGTTAAGGGTCGTAGGGTTTAGGGTTTAGGGTTTAGGGTTTAGGGTTTATGGTTTAGGGTTCAAGGCTTTTTAGGGTCACAGGCTGCAATGGGGTAGAGAGTTTCGTGGTGGTAAGGTGCTAAGCTTCGTCGGCATCTACTGCTGTTGTCCCTGACAAACGATTGCACGATTTGTTGCTTCGAGCTTTCGGAGTTCAACCCTAAACTCTGAAAACCCTAAACCCTAAACCCTAAACCCTAAACACCCAAGCCCAAACCCTACGCCCTGAATGGCAGAGGTCTTAGCCTCAGGCTTCTTGGTTTCAGGGTTCGAGTGGAGGACTGGGCCGTAGCGTTTACCCGAGACTCCCATGGCCAGACCCTGCAAATAAGCAGGTTCCATAACCCTACAAGTATACCTAGGTTTTAGAGTTTAGGTTTAGGGTATAGGGTTTAGGGGTTTAGGGTTTAGTGCCTTCGGGTTTAGGGTTGAAGGTGTAATTATATCTGGTTATAGCCTTATTTAGGGCCGTACCTATAACCCTACTAAGTTCAGGGTTGAGCCTCCAGCTCTGGATCGGGAAATGGGCAACGGTCGCACATCCGAGAAAGACATTAATTGCTTTATAGGGGATTCTTAGAAAACCTGAACCCGCCAGAGAGCGAATAATGGCACTACTGGGCATCCTAGTTCTCTTGCGGTCACACCTCAAAGTGGTGACCATAGGGGCCTGAATTAGGATAGGGTTTTGGGGGGGGATATTCTAGTATACTCATAAAGAGAGTTGACCATAAAGGAATCTTACTATAATAATTCATTCCCACCCCCTTTTTTACACCTCGAAGTGGCTGCCAGAGCTGCGGGCCAAGGCGAGCCACGTCACCCGCTCGCACTCGGAGATGCGCCCGTCCAGGCCTTGCCGCAGAAAGTCCGGCAGCGGGCGCCCCTTCGCGAAATCGGCCGCAGTGAGGCCTCGACGGCTTTCTGGGGGTTTAGGGTTTAGGGTTTAGGGTATTTAGGGTTTGGGGTTTAGGGTTTAGGGTTTAGCGTTTAGGGTCTGGGGTTTGGGGTTTGGGGTTTAGGGCCTAGGGTTTAGGGTGCAGGGTTCCAGCCTCGACTGTTTCGCAGGTCCAGCTTGGCGCCTGCCGCGATCAGCGCGGCGGCGCCCTCGTACTGCGCCGAGAACATGGCAGCCATGAGAGCGGTCATGCCATAGAAGTGGTAGAGGTACTCTGACAACTTCGTCTCTTTGACCCACCTATGCTGAAGAGACTTCAGCCCCACCACCAACCCGAAAGGAGACGTGGAGCGAAGCGGATAATGGAAGTTTACGTCAGCACGCAAACTGACGAGGCGATACACAGCTGCAGCTGTACCGCCTCGAAAGATCATGGCGCAGTGCAGCGCCTCGGACAACTTCCGGGAGTCGTAGTGCGCCTGGGCAAGGAACTCTTCCTGGGCCTTGCAGGCGCCATAGCCGAAGGCACCCAGCAGACTGGGTATGCCGAGGATGTTTCGCGAAAGAGGGTTGCCACCCGCAGCGCACAGGAGATTGATGCCCGCGTCGTTGTCGGAAAAGGCTGCAAAAGCCATGGAGGGACTGAGCCCACCTCTTTGACGCGCTCCGGCTTCAATCAGTACACGACACACGTCGTTGTGCCGGAACATGATTGCAAGGTCCAGGGGTGACGTCCACAAAACAACGCCCAGCGTGGGCTCGTCCTTCGCCGTCCGAAGGTTGGGATCCGCGCGGTGCCGCAGCAGTCCCGCGACCACCTCCGTGTCCCCGCCTTGAGGAGCAAATGAACCCCCAAAATGGGGGGTTATATACCCTATACTACTACAATAGTACTATAATCCCGATTAAAGTATATATGTATATATATATATATAAACCACAAACCCTTTTAGGGCCCAATTTCGTCCTTCTAGGGACATGAACCATAAACCCCTTCAGAGCTCAATTTCGTCCTTAAGGCACCCAGGGCGGCGTAATGCAGCGGCCGCCACCCGGCGCTGTCGCGGCCGTGAGCGGAGCGCAGCCCGTTCTGGTACAGGAACTTCGCAGCCGGAAGATCCGAGGCGCTGGGAGCCAGACTCGCATGAAATCCTCGGATTAGGGTTTAGGGTTTAGGGTTTAGGGTAATTTCCTAAATAGGCTCCTCTTTGAAACCCATAAGGGAAAATGTAAACACATCCCTTGAGGGCCTAGAGTCCAGGTACCAGGCCTTCCTCCGGATCCACGGGCAAACCGCGAAAGTAGACCGCCTGCAGGCCGAGGTGTCGCCGGTAGCCGGGGAAGTCGCGTGCTCTGAGACACGACCACAACTTGCGAGTCACCACCTTAGGTGGCGATACTGGGAGCTTTAAGAAGTGGGGGTTCTATGTAGGGTTGCGATATTTACAACTGGCCCTCACCTTACTTTAACTACCCATGAACCTCCAAGTAGGTATCCAACCGGGGAAAAATGTTCACCTTTGGGCTTTGGGGAGGTTGTTGATAAAAGCCAAAAAGGGTCAAAGGCTAGCGGCTACCTGTACTCAGCACACCACACCCTATACCCTGCAAGCTCTAAACCCTGTAAACCCTGAACCCCAGCCAACCCCGTAAACCCTGCGCCCCCTAAACAAAACACCCTAAACCCCCTAAACCCCCTAAACCCCCTAAACCCCCTAAACCCCCTAAACCCCCTAAAACCCCTAAACCCTAAACCCTAAACCCCTAAACCCGAAACCCCAGAGCCTAAACAGCACCGAAGGCACACCTTTCAGCACAGGGCCCAGCTTGTCGCGGTCCTCTGGAAAAGTAAACTCCCCTTCGCCGACCGGCCCAGTCCTGGCTTGAGAAAAGGGTTTAGGGTTTAGGGTTTAGGGTTTAGGGTTTAGGGTACCTGGGTTCAGGTTTAGGGTTCGGGGGTTTGGCGTTTAGGGTTTAGGGTAGAGGGTACAGGGTTCGGGTGCAGGGTTTAGGGTTTCGGGTTTGGTGCACCGGTGACTCTTCTTAACTTCAGTTTAGTAGGAACAGCTATGTGATTCGGGTCCCCTTGTAGTTCAGGGTTTTGCGTAGTATAGTTTAGGACATATCGGACTAACCCTAAACCCTACACCCTAAACCCTAGGCCCCAAACCCTCAACCCTAAATTTATCTTTTGGGACCTACCGGTTTCTCGAAGGGTTTTAGAGGCTTAAGGCTTCGGGAGGTTGAATGGGGTTGTCAGAACGGATCCTGAGCCTAACAAAAGCAATGATTGCAGTGATTTTACAGGGTCTTCACAAGTTTTACATGGTGTTTAGGGGTTTTTGGCAGCGTATTTTGGGCGGTTTATGGGAGTTTTGCAGGGGTTTTCGAGGGTTTACAGTGTTCGTAGGGTTTGTGGGCTTCATAGATATTTCGGGTTCACATGGTTTATAGTATATAGGCAGGGCTTGCAAGGTCTGTCTGTAGAGTGTTTAGTTTTTCTTCTCTCTCTCAGGGTTCTCCAAAAAAATTGGGGGCACTACTCTTGGCTGCACTTAGGAGGGTAGTAAAAAACTAAACTTTTCGCTGCCTTATTAAGAAACCCAATAAACCCAAAAAAGGCTAAGGATCTCTTAAGTTACAGTAAAGCACCACAAAGTACTGAGCGCCCAGGAGTCAAGAAGGATTGGACTGTACCAGCCACTTCCATTGAGGCCCGACACTTCACCAAGATCCAGGTGTGGTCCGAAGAGATCTCTTGCACTACCCTTTCCTTAAGGACCCAACTTCGATTTAGGGTGGTTCATGAGGGTTTAGGGTTTAGGGTTTAGGGTCCATAGCCACATTTGTAGTGGCGTGTGCAGGAGTAGAGTGGCGTGTGCAGGAGTAGAGTAACTGCCGCAAAGATGCCATACGGCACCACCCCCGACGTGACCAGCTCGTTGCGGATAGCCCAGCGTCCGCAAGAAAGGGGACAAGCGCGAAAAAGAATGAGCACCTAAGCGTCGCAAACGGCAATTTGCTATTGAGCACAATGTGCTCAACCATTGCATCGTAACTAACGCAATGACGGGCAACTTCTGCACCACGATGATGGTGAGGATATTTCTTACTATGAGCAGGGCAATGAAAAATGAAGGCAAAGTACTTACCACCCTACTAACCACGGTAGTGAAGCTGAGCATGCACACGTAGCTGAAACAGCCAAGATCGCCATGCCAGCAAGAACGGGCAATATCGCGACGCGACTAGACTAATCAACATGGCCATTTTTTATGAATATGGCAAGTGGCAAAATTGTTTCATTTGATGAGCGCTAGTGGTAGTGGTACTGGCAGTTGCGCTCATAATCGCAGCTGTGGAAAACACAGGGGCCTTGTTAACATGATGTTCTTTCTTTGCAGCAGCAGTTGCGGCAGCAGTTGAAGTAGCATTCGCAGTAGCCGTCTTAGCAGTAGCACTCGCAGCAGGTGTTCTAAAACCCCTAGAACCCCAAAAACCCAAAAAACCTAAATCCGAAGCAGCTCTTTTTGTTGGAATAGCAGCAGCAGCGGCAACAGGAGGAGCAAGAAACCGAAGAAGCAGCGGAAGCAGGAGGAGGAGTTGTAGCTGGCTTAGAGTTTAGGGTTTAGGGTTTAGGGTTTAGGGTTGAGGGTTGAGGGTTGAGGGTCTAGGGCTAGAGGAGGCACTTGACCACGTAGGCGGGGATGCTCATGATGGCTTCGGCCCGGCCCACGGGCCCTAGTTGCGGGACCGAGAAGTAGTCGTACCACAGGAAGAAGGGCTCCACTTGGAAGGACTTCAGATCCTAGGATCCCTAGAGGGGTTTAGGGTTTAGGGTTTAGGGTTTAGGGATCCCAGGATGGCCAAATGTAACCCTAAAGGGGTTTAGGGTTCAACCAACCTTATAGTAGGGGTTTATAGTGGTATAGGGTAACATGACCCAATTCTAGGGCTCAACTTTGGTCTCCAAGGATCCAGGGGCGTCGCAAAACGCACAGATAACTCAGTGATGATGTCGAGAGGCACAGTGCCCTCATCTTGCGTCAGGTGGCGCACCGTCTCTTGCAAGACCTTCTGAGTCTTAGTAGGGAATGAGGGAATTAGGGCCCTGCAGAAACCCTTTAAGAAATGATGTAGGGTACCTCATTCCCTCATTCCCTACTCTAAGAACCAGCCGGAAGGACCTTCATCTGCTGCATCTCGGGATCGGGGTGGCCATCGGAAACCCACTGGTGCGAAACGAAGCCTGCCTTGCCCATGCTCCTGTCGTAGGTCTCAAGCAAGCCCATGGCCTTCGCGGCGTTGAGGAGGGGCCCCTAGAAGGGACCCTTAATCTTAATCTTATTCCCTTATATAACCCATATTCAACCCATATATATATATGTATATACCACTTATAGTCTCTATGCCTAAATAACTACATCATAACCCCTAGGGTCCCTAGCAAGGGCCCCTCCTTTGGTCCCTTGACGTTGTGTGTTCGTGCAGACTTCTTTGTTACAACTCGTAATGATAAAGAGGCAGCCAGGGGAGATCTTTGGGAAAGCCACGTAAAGTTTAGGATTTAGGGTTTAGGGTCAAGGGATAACCCTAAACTCTAAACCCTAAACCCTAAGCTCTCTGCGACACCTTGAGATGTTCGTGCGGCTCGACCTTCGTCATCTTCAGCAGCGTTTCGGCAAGCACCGTGTACATCGGGAAAGACTCTTGCGCCTCCGGGACTCAGAAGCCGAAAAGTTTGAATAGAGTTTAGGGTATAGGGTATAGGGTTTAGGGCTTAAGGTAAAGCAGCCAGAATGTTCGATGTTCTAGAGAAATCGTCTCGCCTGCCCTGCCAAGCCGGCCGGTTACAAGCAAGGCGGAACAGCAAGTTTTCAAAAAAAATCCGACCTAAGCCTTACCTGAAGGGGAACGACGTCTGCAAAAACCGAACCACTAAAGCCCTAAAAACCTAAAGCCCCTCAAACCCTCAAGCCTAAAAACCTAAAACCCTAGAACCCTAAAAACCCTAAAGCCTGAAACCCTAAACCCTAGAGCCCTAAAATCCCCAAAACCCAAAACCCTACACCCTAGCCCTAAACCCTAAACCCTAAACCCTAAAACCCACTCAGACACCTCGCTCTCAGTGTTCCCATCCTCCAAGGATGCAGCAAAGCCTCAGTAGCCCAGCAAACATATTCTAGCAAAGGGTACCCTCTTTTGTCTTAGGGTTTAGGGTTTAGGGTCTAGGGTCTAGGGTTTAGGGTTTAGGGTTTAGGGTTTAGGGCTAGTTTTACAGGCGAACCTTGAAACCACCCAAAAAAAGCAATGGGGCAAAAAGGGGCACCAGTGAGGCTCCCGAGAAGCTCTCCAAGGCGGTGGGAACCCGACGCCGACAGGGCATCGATGATTGGGGCGCGAAACTCTCGGCTTCTTAAGGGGCTTTCTTAAGAGGCTTCTTAAGGCTTAGAGGGGTTTAGGGTTTAGGGATTAGGGTTTAGGGTTTAGGGCTTAGGGTTAGGGTTTAGGGATTATGTAGGGTTTAGGGGTTAGGGAAGTTTAGGGTTTAGGGTTTAGGGTTTAGGCTTTAGGGTTTAGGGTTTAGGGTGGCAACATGATGGGATCGCGTCATGCAAGCAGCGGCTGGTGGACCGGCTCCTCTTGCACTTGAGCAGCCGCGGCTGGGTTTAGGGTTTAGGGTTTAGGGTTTAGGGTTTAGGGTTTAGGGTTTAGGGTTTAGGGTTTAGGGTTTAGGGTTTAAGTAGCTCAGTAGCCCGTCCCATCAATATCAAAACCCCACTCCCCCTAGTATTCCTTATTCTTCTTTCAGGGTTAGGATTTAGTTATTCGGGGCGGGGGGGGGGTTGGGGTTTATGCTAAATTTGAGATTTCTTTTTCGTGAGGGGGTTTAGGGCTTGGGCTAAACTTTAAGAGGGGGGGGAGGGGGGATGGGGCTTTAATATTGAGTGGAGTGGATGAAGCATCATACAGAGATCCATCGTTGGAGTGGCTGTGCGCCCGTGCTACTGCTGCACTCCTATTGTTCTTGATCGGAATCAGCAAAAGCAGTTGCCTACCTGTACCAAACCTCCTGACTAATGGTGTCTACATGTGTCTACTCCAAAGCCACATCTTCCCAATCTCCCCTGAACGCTCATACCTCCAAAACACAAAACCCTAAGCCCTATATAAACCCTGAATGCTTCTCGTACATCGCACATCATCTTCGTCGCCTGCACCTTACAACTTTTCGATGGCCTAATTAATCTCTAAACCTGAACCCCATAAGCCCTAAGAACTCTACACCCTAAACGTTTAGGGCTTAGGGTTTAGGGTTCCCTATAGATCCAAAGCCCTAAGCCCTAAACCCTGTAAACCCACAGCGCGAAACCCTAAATACGAAACCTACACCCTGCAAACCTCTAACCCCCTAAACCCTAAAACCCTAAAACCCCGAACCCTAAACCCTAAGCACCCTCACCCCTAAAACCCCTAAAGCCCTAAATCCCTAAAGCCCACAAACACCCTAAACCTACTGGTTCTTCAATTCTTCGTAGGGGATGACGGAATTAAGTACCTTACATCCCCCCTATATATATATATATATATATATGTATGTATGCACACCCTTCACGGGGTTATAGAGGAGCCGTATTCCCTCATTCCCTACTAAGAACCAGTAGGTAAAGCCCAAAATCTGAGAGCAGGGCCTTATGCGGGCACGTGTACTGCTCGTAGCCGAGGACGCGGACCTCTGAGTGTTCAGGGTTTAGCTCAGACCCTAAGGCCCTAAACCTTAATTAAACCCTAAACCCTAAACCCGAAACTCTAAACCCTAAACTAAACCCTTTACACCCTGAGCCTCTGTGGGGGGAGCGTCAGGTGGCCTTGTAAGTAGCCTTGCCGATCTCGCTTGGCTGGTGGCGTGGGCGGCACTCTGGGCGGGGCGTTCGATGCAGCCTCCGCATCCGCGCGCAACTGTTGCCGTTGGCGCTTGTCAAGCCTTCTTGCCTGCTTGTGCCTTGCTTCCGCGCTCAGCGGCGACTTTCCCTGCTGCTCCCTAAACCCTAAACCCTAAACCCTAAACCCTAAACCCTAAACCCTAAACCCTAAACCCTAAACCCTAAACCCTAAACCCTAAACCCTAAACCCTATTCGGTTTAGGGATTGGAGTTTCTCCGCCGGGTTGGCCATGACCGCCAGGTCGAGGGTTGAAGGATGACGGTCCGGATTCACGGCGTCGCAAACCTAGACACCCGAAAAAACAAACCCGGAAGCCTACTGAGGCTTAAGAAGGGGTTTAGGGTTTAGGGTTTAGGGTTTAGGGTTTAGGGTTTAGGGTTTGAGGTTTAGGGTTTAGGGTTTTTTGGGCTTAGGATTTAGGGTTGAGGGTTTGTTGAGCTCGGAAGCTGTGGGTCCTTGGGTTCCTAATGATTGTGGGATCTAGGGCTTTGGGTTTCGATAAGGGTGCAGGCTTTAGGTTCAAGGTTTAGGTTTAGGGTTTAGGGTTTAGGGTTTAGGGTTTAGGGTTTAGGGTTTAGGGTTGAGGGTTCAAGCTTGGGGGCTGCCGACTTGCTCAGCGGCCCTTCCTGGTGCGTAAACCCCAAACTCCAAACCCCAAGCCCTGAATCCTAAACCCTAAACCCAAACCCCCCAAAAACCCCAAAGGTTTAGGGTTTAGGGTTTAGGGTTTAGGGTTTAGGGTTTAGGGTTTAGGGTTTAGGGTTTAGGGTTTAGGGTTTAGGGTTTTTTCAAACACAAACCTAAACCCCAAACCCCAAACATCCAGGCCTCGGGCCCCACGATGCAAAAAACACAGTTGCGCGACCCCACGCCTCAACGAGGTCCATCAGACCCCCGACCCTGAGAATGCCCTACACTAGGAAGCCCTAAACCCTAAACCCTAAACCCTAAACCCTAAACCCTAAACCCTAAATCCTAAACCCCGAACCCCAAACCCTAAATCCTAAACCCTGAGCAGTTTAGGGTTGACGGGCTAGGGGTGAAGGGCTTAGGGTTGAAGGGTTAGGGGTTAAGGGTTCAGTTTAGGTTTTAGGCGTTAGAGTTTAGGGTTGAAGGGCTTAGGGTTTTAGGTTCTGGGGTTTACAGCCCTTTTGCTTGCTTGGCTGTGCTTAGCAAGGAAAAAACCCCAACCCTAAACCCTAAACCCTATAACCCTATAACCCTATACCCCTATAACCCTGAAACCCTAAACCCAAAAAAAACCTTACGAGGACTTGGCAGTGCTCTCGTGTAGCCCTAAACCTTAACCCTAAACCCTAACCCTAAACCCTAAACCCTAAACCCTAACCCCTAAACCCTAAACCCTAAACCTTAAACCCTAAACCCTAAACCCTAAACCCTAAACCCTAAACCCTAAACCCTAAACCGAAACCCTAAACCCTAAACCCTAAACCCTAAACCCTAAACCCCAAATCCAACCGATGAGGCCCGGTCGTGCGCGCCCCGGGACACCAGCGATCCGAAGGCGCTCTTGCGGCAGAGGTGGCTGGTGGTGTCCTGCCAAGGTACTTTTTGTGAGGGTTTAGGGTTTAGGGTTTAGGGTTCGGGTTTCGGGTTTAGGGTACAGTGTCATATAAGAGTCTCGCACAAAAAAACAACTTACAAACAAAGCTATGACACCCAACGACTTGAGAAGCTGGGGCGTTTTTGAAACCACTCCCACGGGAAGAAGTCCTACTTCCTAAACCATCCTCCACCGGACTCTAACCCCTGAACCCTAAACCCTAAACCCTAAACCCTAGACCCTAAACCCTAAACCCTAAACCCTAAACCCTAAGCCCATCATCCCCGGACTCTAACATCCCTGAACCAGTTACTTGGAGGTTCATGGCCAAGAGGCCCTGGCAGTCGATCCCTCTCCCAGGCACGTCCCCCATCTTTTTTTTTAGACAGCCGGTCGGGTTGTGAAACTTGGGGTTTAGGGTTTAGGGTTTAGGGTTTAGGGTTTAGGGTTTAGGGGAGGGTGGGTTTAGGGTTCAGGGGTTAGGGTTTTAAGGCTTTAGGGTGTAAGGCTTAAAGCTCAGGATCTTAGGGAGTAAGGGGCTTGGGGCAACTCCAAAACCTCCCGCAAACCCCGCCTAGGTTCCTCTAAACTCTAAACCCTAAACCCTAAACCCTAAACCCTAAATCCTAAACCCTAAACCCTAAACCTAAAAAACAAAACAAAGGTTTTACTATAGGATTTTGGGATTTTTTGTGGGGGGGTTCAGGGTTTGGAAACCTAACAACAAAGAATACAGGGTTGAAGGCTTTAAGG